TAATAATAATAATATATATATAATCGACTCTCCCGTCGTGTTCGACGTATGAGGGTCAGGCCAATAAGTCCCCAGGAAACCGACATCCCGACACCGGCACATGAGATTTGTTTATAGTGGTGAAGGCCTTGTGCAGGACCAGCCACACTTTTTGGAGGGACGAATACAGAAACTTGGTGCACCGAATGCATGCCACAAGGTTCCCAAACAACCCTCCACAGGTTTTGAATTCAGAGTTGTCCTTCTCCTAGACCAGTTGCCATCCAAGGCTATAGAACCCAGTCTGTCCTGCTATTTTACCCATAGCTGGAGGGAGATGAAGAGGATACATACCTTTTCCTAAAGGTATTAGCACGTAAGTGAATGCAGTGGATTCGACTGGAATTGAACTCGGCTCTCATGTATTCCTCAATCCAAGCCGCTAACCACTGCTCCACCGTGCCTCCTATATATATATATATATATATATATATATATATATATATATATATATATTCAGCATCACCACTTGATAAGACACTGAGGGTGTTGAAACAAAATGGCTATTTTTGTAGTGATTTTATAGCATACTTATGTTATAATTTTTTATAAATAATAATATATATATATATATATATATATATATATATATATATATATATATATATATATATATAGACTTGATTTGAAAGACAGTTTTCAAAACCAAAATTGCACATCCACACTTACAGCACCTGATATTCCCAATTGGTAACCCCTAGGTACTGACCAGGCTCCTCATTGCTTAACCACTGTGATCATATACAAGACATGAACAAAGGAACAAGAACAATCTATGCCTATAGATGAGAAAAGAAAATGGGAACAGTTTGAAGTTCCCTCTGAAGTTTACCCAGTTTGACAGACACCTGAAGAAGGCCAGAGAACACAATAGCTGAAACATTGTGGTAATGACAACAAAGATAAGGATATTCATCCAACTGTAAATAAAATAAATAATGACTCCTTATTCAGAAATTTACTATATATATATATATATATATATATATATATATATATATATATATATATATATATATATATCAGGTGTTTTTTTGTCTGCAAGAATTCTCACAAACATGTTTTATTAAATAATATAGACAAGTTCTGTTTATCAATGTTTTATTAAATCTTTCAAATTTCTGAATTTCAAGTTGTTTTGTATTATTGGTAAATTTGTCAAAATTCATATTGATTTTATTTTATATTATTTTTTCCCAATGTTACTATATTCATTTTTAAGGATTGTTCTGTGTGTAGATATGTGATTGGTTTTTAATTCCGTCATTCTCAGGTTTGGATTTTCAAGTCACTCAAGGTGATGTCATACAAACAGAAATCTTTTTTGTATTTTTTTATATATATTAAACACTTATATATATGATTACCTACATGGTCCCTTATGGAGAATGACATCTTATTTAATGCTTGTTGCTTCTCTTTTATTGCAGCATCCTCCAGAATTTGGAATCTTCCTTTGCACTATATATATATATATATATATATATATATATGTATGAAGTATTGTTGTAACCTAGAAAGGGTTACAGCATGAGGAATAACCAAAACAGGTTGAAAATGAAATGGTCATCTTTATAACATCAACAAAATACAATACTCGTCAGCGGCGTGAATTAGGTAAACCACTGTTAGTGGTGGACTACTTAGACAGTCTATTACCCCCATTTACAATAGTGTCCAATGTATTTATGAGGATTGGAATATACCCATTAGTGTTCATAGGTATGGTATATAACAATTATATATATGTTTGTGTATTCTCTTATATATTTATAAAACTATATATTTATATTTCTTTCCTTTTGTTTGTCTTTTTTATTATTATATATTTTCCCATTATTAAAGTCTTCAAACAAAAATACGTATTTATTATGTTTCTAAAACTGACAAAATAATATGTCTATATTTAATCTTACTCACAAACCCCCTATATTTATGCTCTTATTTATATTTCATATTATGTTTTTTTATTTGGTCATTATTATTATCCCTGTTTATGTAGAAATTTTTGAGTTGTTATGGAATTTTATTTACATATATTTGTATTGAATTTCATGCTAATTTTCTGTAGTTTTTGCTTTTGTCCGAAATTAAAAACAACTTTCATCAGTTTTCAAGCTAATTTTATGACTTTTGGTGATTTTAGACAAAGTGAAAATTACATTTGAAGGCTATAAAATACTGTCTTTTGTCCATCATGTATAAAAATGTTCATGTTTTGATACGTTCAGTCACTCAAAGACCTCCACACACACACACACATATATTTTTTAATTGATTTCACCCCAAGCAAGGCAATAAAGCCACTGAGACACAAAGGATTACTAGGTATGGAATAGTTAGGAACAGAAACATTACTAAGGAGCAAGAACAAAAGAAGAGTAATCAGTAGGACAGTAGAGAGTGATTGACATTGCATTTAAATTTTTACAGACTAAGTTTAGTTGGAAAGCATGGAGCTGGAAATGCAAGAAAATAAACTGTTAGCATATATATGTATGTTCATGAGCAAAGTTTTGATGAGTATCTAACACTATTTACATTGTTCAGACTGTTGTCCTTATCTTTGTTATATCCACAATGTTTCAGTCATTGTATGCTTTGGCATTCTTCAGGTGATTGGAATTTCAAACTTGAACTGAACTCTTTATTTCATTCACTGAGGTAGATTGTACTAGTTCCACATGACATAGCTCTTCCGGATGTTTGAGTGACAGTTACTTCCCTTTAAATCAACTCTCCAAGTTTTTGTTTACCTTAGCTTTTTGGGTCAAGTCACTGACTTGACCCAAAGAGTTGTGAGTTCAGTACCTGACTACAGCTGAGGTGAAAAAATATCAGAAATATAGACAGAGTAATGGTAAATATAAGATAATTTACACGATTCTATTTTGACATATTTCACAAATGAATTGGCATCAGCAGAAAAATAATTTTATGTCAACAGAATCTACATTATCAAGTGTAGAAAAATAAGTGAAATTACTTGTGCTTATGGGGCAGCTGTTGGACATAGAAACTGAGTGGTTGACTGATTCTAGTTTATCAAAGTGAGGTGATTCAGGGATTTTATAGTCTTTTGTTACTGGAAAGGGTGGGATGTGCAGGTCTGCTCTTTGTTATTTAAGGTCTGCCTTCTCTTCCTTTCACTGATCTTTATTTTTTGAGAAGGACATTTATGCAAATGGAGTTGTTTTGTGCCCTCTTCTCTCTATTATTTGATCCCTGTTTAAAATTGGGAGGCAAGACTAGGCATGTTTCAAAATCATTTACTGCCAGACTGACTTTGATTATCCTTGAGTTGAAGAAATTTTCAACACAAGATATTAAGCATATGAATACTTGAGTTCTATTTTAAATTTGTCATTAAAGAAATTAAATTATAACAAACTGTAATTCAGTTTTTGTTTTTATTTATTTGTATAATTATTTATTTTAAGGTTTTCCTACCCCTTGTCCTTACTAAATTAGTAGTGAAATAATGTGAGATACAAACTCACATAAATATGTTGAATAAAATAAATTCTTAAATACTATGCTTCCAGTTACAGTTTCATGATTTCAAGATAACATTGAGGGTCAGAGCATTGATTTAGGTATTTGGTGTTGTACTACTGAACTGTTACATGCTATCTGTCATTCTGGATGGTAGTGAATGCTGAACAATCTCCTCAAAGATGAAGAAGAGACTTGAAGCAACAAAAATGTGGTTCTACAGAAAGATGCTTAGGATACCATTGTCTGAACATGTAAGCAACAGTAAGGTTTTGGAGAAAATAGAAACAAAAAGGAAACTAATATTTGGCATCAGGAAGAGGCAGTTAAAATTTCTGGGGTACATAATGAGGAAGGAGGGCTTGAAAAATCTGATACTTATAGGAGAGATAGCGGGAAAGAGGGACACAGGAAAGCAACATGTGACATACTTGATGGGCTTGAGCAAATGAATGGCCTAACAGGGATTGGGACAAAAAGCAAAAGGACAAAACTTACTAAGAGCTTCAAGGGACAGGAAGATCTGGAGGACATTGTTTGCCTCCGTCCTGAAGGGAATTAGCACATAAAAGAAGAAGTAATTGTGAATTCAATCCCTTGGCTGAGTTAGTACAGAACTTTACTCAGTAGAAACAGGGTGAGCAATAACTGAACAGTACTAAAAAGAACAAAGACAATTGACTGATTTGTTTTTTATGGCTTATCAACACTTTGCAGTTTATTTAAAGCCAGAAAATATTTTTAAATTGTAAGAATTTATTTTGAGATAATAATTGTTTAGTGACACAAATATTACTGATTAACCCATAACTTTAGTGAGAAGAGTGGATTCATACCTTTCCCAAGGGTATTTGTACATAAGTGAATATAACAAACTCAATGGGAATTAGAACTTGGCTCTCTAATTAACAATTCTAAGCCTTTATCCATTGAATCACCTGCACATCCAAGCTTACAGCATCTGATGTTCCCAAGTGGTGATCCTCTAGGTACTGACCAGACTCCTCTGCTTAACCACTGTGATCATATGAAACCAGAGATTAAATGCAATGTGATCATAAGCCAACAAAGATGAGATATATAAGACATGGGAAATGGAACAAGAACAATCTATGCCCATAGATAAGAAAAGAAAGTTTGAAGTTCCCTCTGAAGTTTACCCTGTTTAACAGACACCTGAAGAAGGCCAAAAAACACAATAGCTGAAACATTGTGGTAATGACAACAAAGATAAGCATATTCATCCAACTGTAAATAAAATAAACAAAATGACTCCTTATTCCAGAAATTTAGACAGAAAAGGCATGTTTTTAAGTGTTAGCCTGGTGGTACTAATAAACCAACTATTGGTAACCCAATCAGGCAGGATGATTTTGGGAGCTATCTTGAAATAATAAATGTACCTTTTATAAAAGGAAATATGATAATTTCTTTTTGCTATATTTTGAATAAATGATAATGAAATATTATGTTTTGTTCATTGTCACTGGATCAATCAAAAGAAAAAATCTATTATTGTTCAGAACATTAAGAAGAACAGCAAACTTACAATAGACAACAATATACATGAATTTGTGAGATGACAGTGTCTGATGAACATATGATTTGGCATTAGCTGTACACTTATATCTGCCTGCTTGTGTTCGACTGATGTTCCGGAGTTGTAAGCGTGTTTCAATACTGGTGATATCTGTAGAATTTAAACGTTGTCCTTCGAATTCAAAGAACACATTTGGAGTTGGATTACCATCCGCAGAACATTTCAGCACCACGTCACTGCTTTCAATGACTGTTGTATTAGGAGAGAGAGTAATTGTCGGACGGTCTGAAATGGAAAAAAAAAAAGATGGCAGTTAAAATATAGTTAAAATTTAAAGTTTCAGCAAAAAAAAAAAAATTACATCATGTAATCATATATATCCTTTAAGTTCATATAATAATTCTGTATCTGTCTGAAAGATGTCAAAAGGATGTTCAATAACCAGACAAACCTGTCTCTGGATATAATTTGAACCAATAACTTAATTGTTTCAAATTTTATTTTGTTAGCAGGACTTTTAATTTGTGTTTTTGATGCTGTTAATCTTTAGTATACTGGAGGTGATTTTGTTGTCAAAGCAAAAATTTTCTCCTAATGAATAATAGAGTGTCTGAATTTTGCAGTCGTGTTGTCATATCCTGCTATAGCAACAGAAAATGACCATGACTGAAATTAAGTTGTGCAGTTAAGGAGCATTGAAAAACAATGCAGTAGAAAGGAAAGTAGTGAATAATGCAGTGTTAAAGGTTGATTACAACTAAAAGATGTAGGAGATTTTTTTTCAGGAAATTTTTAGATCACCTACAAGCTTATTAATATCAGCCTGTTTATAATACTTTTGCAAATTTTAACCCTTTAAATGATTTTTCAAACCCCAACATTTATTAAATCTCTCTGTTTATTGCATGTAGAGAAAAAATACACCCTTGATTATCATGATGCATCCTTATATTAGGCACCTTAGACTAATACATATAATATGCCAAAATAAACAATATATATTGTTATCTAAATATTGGGTGCGATAGGTAAATTGTCGCCATTTTATATTTTTAGTTTAGTGTATATGCATTGTTTGTTTTTGATTTTGTAAACTGAACAGTATAGTAGGGTCATTTGGGCACTGTCTGTGAGAAAAAGACTACCATGACACTATTCACTCCACCAGAAATTTGAAAACAACATGCTGTACTGTTTAGCATTTGCAGTGGAAGCTCTAATTTCTGAGTGTTTGGGTGTCAATCTGAGGACAGTGCAGAGGATTTGGAAAGAGTTTTATGAGTCTAATGATAATTATGAATGTATGACAACTCAAAAATTCACTCTGATTGTTCTGATAAGAGAAGAACTCCTGAATTTGTTGGTGAGGGCCTCTGACAACATGAAAACCTACATCAAGTAACTTGAGGAAGAAGTGTTGCCCTAGGTCAAGAGGGTTGCTACTGAAAGATCCGATGTCTGGTAACAAGGACTCTGCACCATGTTAAAAGCAGGAGAACCCAGTGATGGCTGTCAGACAATTTCTGTGATCATCACCCTTTATATCTGGCTACCTAACTCCCCAGACTGCAACCCCCTTGCTTATTATGTGTGGGACACATTGAGTGAGAAATTAACAGAACTCCTTGTAACACCAAAGATGAACAGAAGGCAAAGAATATGGTAGCATTCACCATCTTATTCAAGGACACCATCCAGAAAAGTTGCAGGAGATTCCAAAGCTGACTGAAGGCCGTGGTAGACGGCAATGGCTATTTTATTGGATAAATTTACTCTTTAGTATTTCAAGATATTTTTGTGTAATTTTGGCAAATATATCTGTTAAAATGAGATGCCAGTGTTATTTTTGTACTTGCATAGTTTACATGGCAATTTATCCATCGCACCCTATATATATATATATATATATATATATATATATATATATATATATATATATATAATACAGCAAAGTAACAATTTCTATTTTCATGCAAATTTGATTGAGGATTTTGATTTGTCTTCAGAAATACTTTGATTTTTGAAAACCTTGGGAATAAAAAGGGATAAAATCATCTGTCTGATTTTATCCAAAAAGTAGCAATTTATTAAACATTTGTAGACTTGAAATATCATCAGAAATGTTATTCTTTTTTATTCTCCTGTGGAATGTTTAAGAAGGCTGAATTCAAAACAAATTTTGTTCATGACAGAAAACAGACTTGTTGAAAAGAGTCACTTTGCATATTTCTGAATCTGCCATTTTTCAGTTTTTTTTGGCGCTTGAGTAAGAAACTTTATTTTCCATGGGAAGGGTAATAATTTTGCCCAAATAACTTTTAGTGGATACTGGGAGAAGTTCTTTTACCAGAATATATATTTTTCTACTTAGAGTTTGTATTAAACCCAAAAGCTTTAAGGAAACAGCAGGCCAAATTGCCCTGCTACCATATCCAAAGATCTGCCATGTTTGACAGTAAGTTCCAAAAGGTTCCAAACAAAATGTGAAACTGAGTAAATAGAGCTATTTACATAAACACATTTTATCCATGTAAATATATATATATATATATATTTGTAAAATGTGTATGTATATAAATATAAATATATATATATATATATATATATATATATATATATATATGCAATTTTTATATATATTATTTATATATTATATATGTGTGGCACTTATTAAAGCATTCAATATCAGTGATGGAGTTAACATTTAGTTGGATAGATGTGACAAACTCACATCAATCCAACTAAATATATATATATATATATATATATATATATATATATATATATATATATATGTATGTCTGTAGGAACATTCATATGTATACATGGTTATAAATGTTTAGAATCACTTAAGAATGAAACTGTGCTCTAAATTTCAAGTTTAATTTTGAAATTAAACTTTAGAACTTGAGTTCCAGTTTTGAAACATAGTAATTTCTGTGTCACGATGGAATCATATTTAAAAAAATAATTATAATATATATATATATATATATATGTATGTATGTATGTATGTATGTATGAAATATTAACATTTACAGTTGTTCATTGCGATGATTGCTGTCTAGATAGGATTCTAAATGAATATACTATTGATTTCCACCAGATAATTTATTTACTTTCCCTATGAACTAGATACACTAATTGTTTTCTTATTCTCTTTCTATGTATATGTACACACACACACACACACACACACACATATATATATATATATATATATATATATATATATATATATATATGTATATACTGCACAGACATGGGAGAAAATAATATATATTGTGTATCCTTTACAATGGTATGTATACTAAATTAGCATTGAATAAGGATATTTTTAATTTTTAGGAGTGAAAGTTAAGGGATAGATTGACAACTGAGTAAACTATAAATCCTGAATTCAATTTTCAACATGACTTGCAAAGCATTTACAAAGTGTATAAAATTTGATTTTTTTCAAGGGAAAGCAAATTTTTGTCTACTAGAAATCATGTAACTCTTGTAAAAGAAAATATTCAATCTTTTTCCCAAGGTAAGTCATCAGATGATTATAATCAACTTCACTTGTTATTCTGTTGATAACAGGTTTATGTTCTATTGGTAGCATGTGCCAAAAAAATGTAAAATAAAAATTTTCCCCATATGTAGCAGCCTATAACTATAAAATAAAATCAGGAGTTTTCTCCATGCATTAGCCTATGGGACTGCCAAATATTAACTTGGTATCTTCTTAGAATGCAAAGTTATAAAGGGTCAAATTTTTAAAATCATACTATTTTGAAATTAGCAAATGTTGATAACAAATAACTGAACTAAGAGTTTAAGAAAGTTCATACACACATACACACATATATATATATATTAGAGTGTGCATATTATATTATATATATGAAGAAACAATTTATAAAAAGAATTAAATAGTAATGCTAATGTGATTAATGGTGAAATCACTTTGCTAACAGAACTTAATGAGAGATTAACTTTCTATCAATTCCTTGAATAATAAGATCCTTATATTCAAGTTGTTGTCAGATAGAAGACACATGCTGAGTACTTTTGACAATTACAAATTGTCATCTTCAGGGTGCAATCTTCTTATATATAGGCATGTATGGGTATATTATTCTACTAATTGGATTATACTAAGTCCATTTCACTTTATTTCATAAATCAAAAAAATTTTGTGGATTTCTAACTTTTCAAAATTCAAAAACATTCTCACTTGATCAATTTAAACAAGAACTCTAGCACTGCAACATGGCATGATCCAAAACATATATTCAAATGTCAATAAATAGCACAATTTAAAAAACAAAAACATCTTCTGGTCTACACATAGTTTGTCTTAGTATTTGCCTATATATATGAGAAAATTGACCCAGAAGATGATAATTTGAAATTGTCAAAAGTGCTTGACTTGTGTCTTCCATCTGACAAAAACTCAAATGTAAAGATCCTATTATTCAAGTTATTATTAAGTTCTGTTAGCAAAGTGTTTTTGCCATTAATCACATCTTGAAAAGTTTGTTGACTCAGTCTAGTATGTATGCAAGTATAGTACAGACTGAGAGAAAATAATACGTAATTTAAAAAAAAATATTTCACTTTTTTTGGCAGATCTTCTGTCAATACTATGTGAGATACTTAATAAAAATCCAATAAAAATATAAACTAAAAGAAAAACAAACTAAATGAAATTAGCCACATTATATACCCAAACACATATTATAAAAAATAAAATCTAAAAGTTCAAAATTTCGGTGTCCCACCTTCTTCATGTGCATGTTTAGTTACATCAATATAAACATTCTCTTTAGTCCAATAAAATCATAAAGAAGGAAACATGTCACACAAATTTTTTTTTTCCACTTTGTCATTAATTTTCCTAATACAGTACAGGCTCTAAGAACACAATAATTAATAACATTGTAAAATCTGTACAAGTTTTACTCTTTATCTACTATATTCAGGCATTATTTGCCACTGATTCCTGAAAGAATTGTAAATAATGCCTTTTCAGATCAGATTAGCTCATATACCACATTTTGCTACAACTACTTCTATGATGATTGATGATATTATGCATGAGTTTGGTTTGAGGTTTGTCATTGACAATTGTGAGATCAGTACACTTTCAATGCATTTTCTTCTTAGTAAATTCTTTTTTCTTCTAATCAGACAGGCATTTATGAAATCAAAATTGCAATCACATAGGTTATGGTGCACTACCAGGTGTTTTCTCATGTTGTCATAATAACATCTTAAATGTGCTACTAGTTACCTGCAATCTAAGGTGTTTAATCTGGTACTTGTAAAATAATAATTCTTTAAATGTTAATCTTTCAATTGAATAGCAAAATCACAATGTTAAAATATATGTTTATAGCCAAATGTCATAGACATATCACTGAATAAAATCAGCCAAAAAAGAAAAAAGAAATGATATTACTTACATTCAACAAGCACTGTCACAGAACTGGTAACATGTTTACTATGCTGCATGATGGTGAAGCTATTCTCCGCTCGGCAAACAAGGCGCTCAGAGTGGTTGTAACGTGTGACCGGGTTGAATCTGAGCATGTATCCAGAGTGTATTGGTCCACTGTTGGCCACGTGCCATTTGTAGAAGACGTGTGGTGGGTTACCTGGTTTGGCTTCGCAGTAGAGTGCTTGATCAGTCCCCTCAAGCCAAGGGAAGTCACTGCTACTGCTTATCATAGGCTTGCCAGGTGGAACTGAAAAACAAACAATTTAAAATATTTTATCAGAAATGGAGCAAACTGTTATGGGAGGATAATTAAGGAAATAGTGAGATGTCTGAAATTTTCAAATCAACAAAATACATATATAACATATAATATATAATATGATTGTCAGGGCACTTTGACATGGTGTAATGGTTAGCAAACTTTCCTCACAAGATCTATTATGACTGAATAGTGAGTTCAATCTTCATTGGGTGTCCCCCTGTTTTTGGCCTTGTGCCACATCTAAGCTATGCTTGGAAAATCACTGTTAGGGCACATCAAGGTGGTGTAATAGTTAGCAAGCTTTTCTTGCTAGAACAATTATGACTGAATAGTGAGTTCGATTCTCACTGGGTGCCCCATACTTTCGGCCTTGTGCCACATCTGAGCTATGCTTGGAAAATCACTATGATATGATTGTCAATTTCTTTTTGCTTGGGATAAGGACTTACCATTATTTACAGTTGGACTAATGTCTTCATTTTTATTGTCATTATCAAAAATTTTTCAGTGATATCCTGAAAGGAAAAAAGAAGACACAAATGCATACTTGCACAAGAGAAATAGTGTTGAAAATTGCTCAGCCCAACCAACTTTAGTATTTTGATGGTTGGTAATTGAAATGGTCAACCATCAAAATGCTATATACATAATAATTTAGCACTTCTTTGCATGGATAAGACATGCAAAAAGATGCATGCATGCATACACACACACACACACACACACACACACACACACACACACACAAGAAGGAGTACTGAAAAATTCTCAGCCCAAATCATTTCAGTAGTTTGATGTCCGATTCTTCCAATACTATATACTTAATAATCCAGTTCTCCTTTTCATAGATACGACATGCAAGAAGAAGGACATACATAAACACATGAATGAAATGGTTTTGAAGTTTTCAACCCAACCCAAAGACAGTATTCTGATTTTAGCTCACTGAAATACAGATAATAGAAAATGGGTTAGGCTGAGAAACTTTCAGTTCTCATTTGCATAAATAGTATATGTAGAAAATCAATAGGGGCCTCTAAGCCCATTGACTCACTGTGAAGAATAGGGTCCCAGACTCACGACACTAAGTGCTACTGGTGTGGTTTTCATAGTAAGTAGATTTTTTTTTGATGGAGAAGAGTTACTATCTACACAGTCAACTGTTTTGAATTCAGAGTTGCTTTTCTCTTATACTGGTTGCCAACCACGTGAAAAGAGTCTGCTCTGCTATTAATATATATATATATATATATATATATATATATATATATATATATATATATATATATATATATATGTGTGTGCATGCAATCTGCACATATATATATACATAACCAACAGAATGCCTGCAAGTTGACAAAAAGAAAACTAAAATAAAAGCAGAAATCAAAAAACCCATACAAGAATGGGAAAATAGACAAACTAAGAAAAAAAGACCAAAAGTCGGCACTTACATACATATATATATATATATATATATATATATATATATATATATATATATATATAAAGACAAAATGAAAACTTATCTTAGTTGATGTGTTTCACCCTCTGTGGGACTTTATCAAGGCAAAGATTCATATCTATCTCTTATTGGTTAATTTGCCTTGATAAAGTCCCACAAAGGATGAAGCATGTTGGCAAAGATAAGTTTTTCTTTTGTCTTTATTTATATTGGTCTTTTGCAGATATACTCTATCTGAAATTTTTACACACAAACACATATTATATATACCGGTTGTAACAGCAAAAATGCTATACGGAACCGTCATATAACCTGACATGCTTTTACCAATTGAGCCATAGAGGATCATTTCGGTTAGCAAGGTCAATTTTACTGTTCTTAAACTACAATTCTCCATGATTTTCTCTCGTACATTCATATCTGCTCGATGCGTATACAAATGAACTCACACATTATGAAATGGACAAAGTCTGACAATTATTTTAAGACATATTTAATGTTTAAAATAATTGTCAGACTTTGTCCATTATATATATATATATATATATATATATATATATAAGGGTTGTGGAGTAGTTTCACAGTGGAGGCTTGTATTTCACTAAGTTAGTTCTAAAATAGGTTTGACGTACAAAACGTTAGGAACTTGATATAATAGGTAATGACGCAGAGAAATCTAGTTGGGGTCGCTGATACTTTAGTATCCGACTAACGGTTGTCCGCCATCGACTGACTGACCAACTCACTGAGCGACTCCTACTACTCCTACTTATTATAGATGGGAGAGTCTATTAACTATAGAATAGGTGTGTTCCACTATAACAATAAGCAAAATGTTGCTAGCTACCATATGGACTTCATATAGAGTTACTTTCATAATTTTTCATTTTAATTAACTCCTACTAAGCTAGGATACTGAAATTTGACCCATTAGTAGGTGGCATCTAAATTTAGAGAGGGGTGTTAGGTAAAATTTAAAAGATATTTGCAATAAGACTAGCATAAGCTCGCACATTAGATTATGGCAAAAAAGGTAAAATTTTAGAGAATTTTATGCAGTAATGGGTTAATTTTGTTATTATTATAATTATTATTGAATATATGATAAAATTTTTTCAGTAAGATAAAGTCCCTCTGCCTAAAGTGAGAAACAGGCATGCAACCTTAATTTTTAGGAGATTCTTCAAAATCCAGAGGATGACTGCATATCTTTTGGCCACTAGTATATATATATATATATATATATATATATATATGGATAAAAGGTTTTGAATAACTTACTGTAGATATATGCAGATGTTTCCAGGTACAACTTTATTTGTAATATTGATACATTAATGTTTTAAAAAAAAATATGTCCCCAAAATAAGTAACATCAATACACATTGAGTATATCATTTATGAAGGAAATAATAAATTGAAGAAGAGAGCTTTCTGTTTAGACAGCAAATAATTGTACTCGATCCATCACCTGTTCTATGACATTTTGACTGGCATGGCAACAAAGTTACTGTAGACACAGAAGAAAAAATATATTCTGCAGGGCTTTTTACTTATATTAACTGAAGCGCATTTAGCTTGCATATATCAAATGTTCATGTATAAATGTCTGTATAAATTTGTAAAATGCATCTCGAGCAGAATTTATATGCCTGAATAAGTATGCAATGCTCAATAAAAATTATTTTCTATGCAAAGATACATAGGTTCTCTATTGATGCATCTATGTACCATTATCTATCTATCTATCTATCTAGATAAATAGAAAGATAGATAGATAGATAGAAAATGGTTTAAATATTAATAAATAGATAGATAATGGTAGATAGATAGATAGATAGATAGATAGATAGATAGATAGATAGATAGATAGATAGATAGATAGATCTATTCATATCTAGGTATCTTTGTCAGTTCATATCTATCTATTTATCTACCAATCTAGATAGATTGATAATGGTATGAAGATAGATTCAAATCTATCTGTTGGTTCATATCTATCTATCTATCTATCTATCTATCTATCTATCTATCTATCTCTGTTCATATCAATTTATCTCAGTTTGTTCATCCCTTTTTCTAACTATCTATCAATCAATATAGATTGATTGATAATGAATAAAAGATAGATGGCTGGATGGATAGATAGAGATGCTGAAAATTCCTCAGTCTAAATTAGAACTGATTTAAAAAAGCTAATTTTTTTGTTCAGAATTTGGAAAGTGTGTCAGGCTGAGGATTTTCCAGCTCTACCCCCCACACATGTACATCTATAACTATAAGTAAAAATCAATTAAAAATACAAAAGGAGAATAAGAGCACAACTGTCAGTTTCATGCTAGGCAAACTTCAAGCGCATTGTATTCCTTGCGGGTTGGTTCTATTATAATATATAAACCTGGATGTGTCCATAAACGCATAATTAGGGAGTAGGTAGCTTCAGAGATACTTATTTTCATGTCTATATTTAGAAATCAATTCAGAAATTTTGTTCAATAGCTTGGTCCTGCTGGGGGAATTCTAAAATGACTCAAGGAAAAGTTATTCATTTTAGAATTCCTCCAGCAAGAAAAAATTTGAATCATTTTTTAGAAGCGCTTATTGGTTGGGTCAAGAACTTTTCAGCACCACCTCATACATGATTTTTTTATCATTTCAAATTATGTTACAGTTACAAATCATATATATATATATTTATATATATATATATATATATATATATAAATAAATATATATATATATTGTAATTATTTTTAAAAAAATATGATTCCATCACTATATAAGAATTCTCATGTTTCAAAAACAGAAGCTAAAAACTTTAATTTAATTATAGAAATTAAATTAAATTAAAGTACCTAGTTCTGTTTCAGCCTCAAGTGAATTTTAGAATAACAAATTTTGAAATTTACAGAGCTTTATAAGCATATACATTCATAATATTAATTTCTATGGAAACAGAGAAAATGAATCACTTTAATAAGTGGTGGTAGGGTTTACATTTTCACTGACAACTATTGTATCAACATATTAATTAATTTTGAAAAGCAGAGTGACTAGGCAAATTCATGATCATCAGGCCAAGTAGTATTAATTTTTGTTCACATTTTTCATATCTAGACATGCTCTATCTTCAACCTTGAGCACTCATTTTTTTTTAAGGCAATTCACCCCAAGCAAAACGGGAGTGACACTAGCATGCAAGGGGTTACAGAGGATAGAGAACAAGAGCAAATAGCACATTTCAAGAAAGGACACAGAGGAGGACTGGGAGCAAGCTCAGGGTGTCAGGTGTTGATTGACATTACACTTGAATATTTGCAGATTATAGTCATCGGGAAGCAAGTAAGGGGAAGGGAGTTCCACAGATGGGAAGTGCAGTAGAAGAAGCCATTTGAGAAGAAGAGACAGTTACATCCTGGATAAATATAGTAAAAATGCAAGCAAAATAATTCTATATATGGTAGATTCTCCTATTGATTTCAGTATATGAGGGCCTAACAGCT